TCCACATCCAGCCTTGCACTCCCCCCTCCGCCCCACTCCATGTCCAGTCCCATGCCCCCCTGTCTTGTGCCCCCACACCGCAGGGCAGTGAGTGGCCACTGCCGGCAATCCACATCTGGCTGTGCACCACCCCCCTGCTCTATGTCCTGCCCCGCACCCCCCCTACACTGCTCTGCATCTGACCCCATGCCACACCCCCTCTGCTCCACATCCAGCCCTGCGCCACTCCTTCCCTACACCATCCACTCGTAGCTCCCTACACGACCCACTCACACTTCTCCACTCCATATGCACCTGGCCCGCTCTGCTGGAGCCATGGCCAGCCCATCATTCTTGCTGGAGCCAAGGTCCCCAAGAGCATTATGATCACACAGACAGATGCACAGACAAAAAGACTAAGCCATAGATAGATAGACAGATAGATAGATAGATAGATGTGTGAGAGCATGGTGCTAGTAACACCAAGGTTTCAGGTTTGATTGCCCAGTTGGACTAGATGATCTCTTAAGGTCCCTTCTAGCCTTACGTCTCTATGAGAAACCCCATTCCTCCAAACACAAAGGATTATTCATCAATACTGCAAAACTCTTTAAGGGAACCTTTCCAAAGAATAATTGAAATTGCTGGCATAATTTGGAAGGACAATGACAAGCTAGAGACACTTACTTGTGCTCCAAGATATTTTTATTAAACACAGTAGCTCAAGTACATATTTTAGATGGATAGAAAGAAGTCTTTTTGGCCTCAGTATCATCTACTGCTGCTTTTTTCAGAAGAACTGAAAGCCCTGTTCATAGTCACATCAACATTTATATTCATACAGTTTTTGCATTCAGGGCTCAGTATCTTATGACAGCTTTGCTCTCCTAGGACGAAGCTAATAGCTATTGCAAAAATGATGGGCATGGCCCCGTAGGTAAGATCTAAAACAAACCTGATGTAGAAAAATACAAACAATCTTATTCAAAATCACAACACTAACCCAAGCTACTAGGGGAACTTTCTGAACACTTAAAAATAATAGCATTAGAATTAAAATTAAAGTTAAGAATATATACTTTAAGAGAAATAGCATTATGGTGTCAGACTGGGTGTGTATACGTTTCCCCATTCTCCCCTGTTCCAAGATTTCAGACTGACTTTTCTGTACAGTTAAAATTCACCAAGTCTCAAGCACAAGTGGCACCTGAAGAATGGTGAAATTTATATAGTTAATTAATTAATTTGGCTAAATCTGTTTCTTATGGTCACACAGATGGGGCTAGGTTCTATAAATCTGCCATGCTCTAGAGCACTATTCTCAAACATGCTCTGCTGCTTTCAGCAGCCTGCTTCCCAAACCAGGAACCACCACACAGACAAGTGCAGCTTTGCCTGTGTGGTTCCACAAGTGATCTAAGTGGAACAGCCACCCAGCACTTTCAACTAGCCCCTCCAGCATGCTGATGATTAACACAGCTTTTGAGGTGGCAAAGCCAGGAAAATCTAGGTACTACTGTAGAGAAAAGAGCCTCCAAAGATTCTGGAAAATGCATGAGTTTTGAGACCTGACATGTCAGCCATTCTTAACAGATGACTATACATTTTGAATTGGAAGCCTTTTATAAAGTTTACTGCTCTTCTTTAAACAAGCACCCCATTTAGTAGAATAAACTATCTTATTTTAGCAAAATCTTAAGAGCCTTCTGAGTGTTTATACCCAAACTGACAAGTTTTTGTTTGCCTACCTGATATCTCTATAAGCATGGCTGTACAATCACCTTCTGCCAACTTCACAAAGCCAACTTCATTTTTGAAATCACCAATTCCTTGGAATGACAAATCCAACTGTTTTCCCTGTAGCAGTTCTTCAACTGAATCCTTGCTCTCCAAAAATGCACCAACTGCTCTGTTGAGAGAAAGAAAAATCCCTGAGGTTGACATAGTAACTATATTTCCATTTCTATTAAGCTTTCTATTTTAATATCTTTGCGTCACTTCATAAGAGTGTTTATAGTTATTCTCCATTTTACAGAGAGAGAAACCAAAGTAGATTTGCTTATAGTCATACAGTAGTCTATATGGCAAAGCCTAGAGTCAGATGTGCTGTCACTAACATATTCTCCCTTTACTGTTCATAGTTGAGGTTCCCTATCTCACTTCCTGCCAGAATATTGATTCTCCAGGCAAGAATATGTAATTATTCTTATTTACTTGCTCACCAAAAACAGGGGTAGTAAAATCAACATTCATCCACATAGGAACATAGCCTGTTACTCTAGGACTGAAAACAATGGAAAGGAATCGTAATTGTTAAAACACAGATCTGAGTGGAGGAAGCCATAGGCAGAAGCCTTCCTAGGAACTAGCTTAAGTAGGGAGCTGCAAACTCTGCATGTGTATAGGAAGACCAGGAGGTATGATTTATACCCTGAAGAATTTGCCCCACAGGATGGTACTACAAACAAGACCAACTAAGCCATGCCTCTACTTGCAATACTATGAGAGGTTATTCAGCAGAGATGTTACATTGAAAGGATATATCAGGTGCTATAACAGGGGTGGGCAAAATGTGGCCTGTGGGCCGGATGTGGCCTGCCAGGCCATTCTATCCTGCCTGTGCAGCTTATAAAAAAAAAAATTAGAAAATAAATATTAATCTGCCCCTGGCTGCCTGTCATGAAACCCTTGATGGCTGGCCAAAACTCAGTAAGCAGCCCTCCACTCAAAATAACTGCCCGCCCCTGCACCATAAGGACTTTCACTGCTCCATATGGGGAAAAAAATCTCTTAAAATACAATTTGAAAGGACAAAGGTATTTGGACTACTATTTTTTAAGCTGTGCACATAATAGATGGTGTGACATGACTAGTAAATTAAAGTCAATGAGAGTTTTGTTACTGAGTTCTGCAATCATAACTTGGCCATGCACGCACCTATAGAACTCAAAATTTTCCATTGTGTGTTCTTTGTATTCAACAAAGGCTATTTCAGTCTGGCATATTCACTTATAAGAACTGACATAAACACTGACACATCTTTGAAAAAAATCACTCACAATGACTCTTCCTGTCATTATTGTACCTTGGTACCTAACCTTCCTCGCCTTGAGCACACTGGACTTGTGGAACTTATTAACAATTAATCTGATAACTTAAAAACCATAATTAAATCTGAAAAGTGTTAATAATAGTATTTAATATAGTAATATAATAATAAAAGTAACAACTAAGTACATAATCATAAACGAGAGGGAGCATTCTTTTTTGCTCAGTTTGCTTACTCTGTCGGTTCACTAGCGCTTTGTATTGTGTTGTTTTCATTGTTTCCCCTTGTGACTCAAGCTATTTTCTTCATGTTTGTGTTTTCTTCCAGAAGACAAAATGGGAGAACAACAAATTGTCACAGAGACTTACTGGTAAGTACAGTAAATAAAAGTTTTTTTTTTAAAGCTGGTTTTTAAACTGACTAACACCATGTGCATCACACCTAAATAAATTCCTTACTTACCATATGTTGTCCTGCATTTCATATCTTTTAGGACCACTCTTAAAATGAGGACTGCTCTTTTATTTTTCACATCTAGTGAAATATGCATTGCTTATCCAAGGACTACAGTATGATTTTGCCAAGTTTGAAGTGTCAAAATGCAGATTTTTTGACATATCTTGGGGGGGAAAAAGCAGTCCGACTTTCCCTACGTTGAGGGTGTATAATACTATTATGTACTGTTAACCAGCAGCTGTTGCCCTTGTCACTAGAATGGATGTTGTTGACAGTTAAAAAGAAAGTTTAAAGCCACATCCTTGTATTTACAAAGCATTTGGGAATCCTCTGTGATAGAAGTCACAATATAAGTGAAAATGTATTTTAATTCATTAACCTCTTATTAGAAGATAAGTGATACAAGTACAAAAATAAATATATTTTTATGTATAAATTGAGAAACAATATTTATCCTAATAGATGTTTTTATATCTGTGAAATATCTCTAGTTTTGGGATGACTTTCAGATTCATCTAAATAGACAAAAATCCACACAGTATATTTTTAGTGTCCTGAAAAGGAAACCAGATGTACATCTCAGTAACAGAAGATGTATTCTATGTGCTGTTACCCAAATGAACTCAAATTCCCTTACTTCAGTTAAATGTTAACTACCTGCATTTTTGGCAGAATGTTGACTCTAGGTGGCAGTAATTACCTTCTAAAAAACAAATATATTTTAAAACACATACATTCTTTGAGGTACAGAGAAGTTACTTCATTTATTTTAATCTCTCTATTTATAGTATTTGTAATATTGCTATCACTATGGTATCTCATCATGTTTATCAGATCAAGTGTAGTATGTTTATAGTTTATTCTTTAGGCCCATACACCACTCATCTCTAAGTGTACATGTATATATTTATAATAAATCTGAACACTTCCCTCTACTTACCTATATAAATATGCAATTAGGTACTTGTATTAGGACTAAATTGACCATAATCTCATCAAGTGATGTGGAGTAACAGAGGTGATATATGTTCCCTCCAAACATTCTTTGTAATTTTTTGTTAAATTAAATTTGCAGCCTTTAGTCTATTGCTATAACCCCACAGAACTTAAATAAAAGGTTTTCAACAAATGAACTCCATTAATGAAGCATAGCTCAAAATTGCTGAATTTCAGAACACTATACAGCCAATCTACTGATTCAGGCTTGCACCCCCAAAAGGCATTTAGGCACCCTCTATTTCCCATTTGAAATTAATGACAAGTTAAGTGTATATGCACCCACATATTCAAGCCTCTATCCTTGCTAACAGACTGTTTGAAGAGTGTCTATTCTAGCTAAGAGTAGCGTGTATTTCAACTCAGTATTCTGTTACTAAGTGGGTGTTTATGCTGTGTAAGAATTTACCGGTGAATTTTTAACTGGTAAAAATTAAATTCCGTTTTCTACCCAATTCCAAATTTTCTAATCCTATCTTCATTCAGAGCACTTAAATTGTTTGTAAGTACTGAATAGGAGGGTCAAATCCTGTTTGTTTTATTCAAGCAAGTGTTCTTGCTTCAATATGTTAATACTAACAAAAAAGTAGGGATTGACCCTACATTCTCATTGAGTATCTCAGAAACATTTACATCTTGTTTTAGCTTAATAATATATAATTACTCTATTTTTAAATGTGATTAAACTCTTATTCAGAAATAAGATAAGAAACCTACAATGTTATCTAGATCTCAGAGTTGGATGATGAAATAATAAGGAAAATATTGTTCTAGAGATATACAAAACAGGATTACTGGAGTTGTGAATGCTAGCTTTTTGTATTGTGTAATGTGAACATTACATCAATCTCAGCTCTTTTTGGAAAGTCAGTAATTCTCTCACTCAGCTTCTGTATTGTTAATTTAAAAGTCTCTACATCTCGGGAAAAACAACCATGCAAGACAAAAGTATCCATTTAAGCTCTTGACAGATTTCAGCTGAAAGAAAATGAGGTATATATCCAAATCTTTTTTCCATGCTTTACCTTACAAAGTTACCAGCTATTGGCTGTCACTCTGATGCAAGAGCAAGTTAAAGCCAAGCTGTACCTTGCTGAAAACAAATTTGTCAAAAGTAATTTAGCTCTCCATCGCTCTGGCTCTGCAGCAAGTATGTTGAACAGTTTTACTTGGCCGTGGTCACAACGCCTGCATTGCAGCACCCCAATGTGGGGTCTCACAGCACTACTCTAAGACACTTTATGGGAAGCATGGAATACTTTTTTGGCAGATGGGAGTTTGAAGCAACCCAGGCTCCTGTAGTGCTCACTGGGCGCATCTACACGAGACACTTTACTACGCAGTAGTCTAATCTACCGATCAGGGCACAGGGCTGGGAGTCAGATGCCCCAGCTGTGGGACAGTTCCCCCCACCTCCTGAAGCCCAGGCCTGACCTGTGCCCCATGCCAGCCTGGGGCTGGCACCTGGGGGAGCCTGGAGCTCTCCCTGGCTGCTGTAAGAAGACAAAGCAGGGCAGGAGTAGCCCTGTACAAAACTGCTCCAGTCAGAAGAAAATGTGCTTCCAACAGATGCACATGTGGACATGCTCCTGAGAAAAGCTTACTAAGCCTTATTTTACCGCACATTAAGCTTACAGCACAATAATAGCACATATAGACACACCCACTGAATGCAAACACAGTGATATCACCAGAAACTTGCTGTTGTAGAGAAGCCATGAGATTCTGTCCTCTCTTAAACAGAAGTAAAGACGGAAAGAAACTAAGGAAAGGGTATGGTACTCTCTAGCCTTCAAAGGCAGCACCATTTGGCACAGATAAAAAAAAAAAATTAAGCAGAAGGAGGCAGCAAAGCATGAAGATGAAAAAGGATATAAAAAGTTTTTGAAGAGAGAGAAAAAAGGAAATAGAAACCAACCTGAGAAAGAGTTCAAGTGGGTGTAGGCCTCTAATCTCCAACTCAGTGCTCCATTTCAAACTGACAATGGTTATAACTAATTGAAGAGCAGAACATATGTACTGTCCTCAGCACGGAGCACAAGGAAGAGCAGAGCTGTGGCATGCCCTGTGAATTTTGCTAAATCAAAAAGAGTTCATGCATACCCACAAAGAGGCCTCATTCAAAGGAACTCTGTTAGGTCCTCAGTTTCTCCTCCAGGAAAGCCATTCAGCATTTCACAAGTTCTTTTAGTGAACTCTGTCACAGTTACCAAAGTTTTTAAAACCTCTAGGTTTGATATATAATATGCATACATGTAAATTTTCCACTGGAGACCACTGAGATATTCATCTGTTACAGGATGACAGCAAAACTTGACAAGATTGGCTACAGAGAGCACAATATCAAATTTTCACAGCTATATTCTTCCAAGTGTAACTTGAGGACGTACAGTAGTTTTCTCACAAGTTTTAGGCCCTAACTACCTGAGATAACACCTCTCTCCTTAAGACCTGCTAAAGTAGCTCAGAATGGCTGGTTAATGTTGATGACTGACCTAAGGGAAAAATCTGGAATTTATGCCATCTTGACACAAGTTATAAAAATCATCAATAATTGAGATTAGCAACTGTATTGATGTTTACAATATATATATACACACACACATATATACACACATATATATTAGGCCTCTTAGTTATTATACTGTTATGCTGATCAAAAAATACCATGCACCACATTATTATTTCTAGTCTCATTGCTGAACTTCTCTACAACCAGAGAAATAATGTATATTAAGTTAAAGCAAACCACTTACAAGCCAACTTCTTCTTCACTGGATAAGTGCATCACTAACAGGGTGATATGCAAGGAACTATAACGAGCCATTGCTTTAGAAAGCCTGTGATCCTTTTGTACTATTATATCTTGGAGAGCCTGAATACCTCCAATAATCTGAGAGGAAAAAAAAAAAAGGAAAATCACAAAAGTAAAAATTAATCAGTTATATCCTACAGCATAAGGATACAAGCTAACAATACGTTACATAAAAAATTGTTCAAGCAGATATGAGCTTTGTCATCTCCTGGATGATGTTATATTAATTTGCCTGAGTAACTTTTAAATGATTATGAATTAATGGTGTTATCGGTATATGAAAGAAATTCCTGTAGTCAGTAGTGGCTTGTCCACAGCAAAAGCATAATAGTACCTGGACTAGCTTAAGTTGCACTACTCTTGATCACCTTTGTACTGCTGCTATTCAAAATCAGGTGCTTCTATAAAACAGTTTTCCCCACTAGTTTACAATGAACCTCATGCTGCAGCAGTGCATGATGGTCTACAACAAGGAAAAGCTTTTTATAAGATAGCAGATGTTTCACACAAAAGAATGTTCAGCAAATAATTTGCTGGACCATCTGAGATAAAATTCCCAATTATACTGACTTAATATGAAATGATAGACTCCAGCAGTTTGCACTGGAGTTTATTGCTCCCAAGCATGCCCTTTAGCATGCACCCAGGACTGTAGCACACTGAGCCAGGGCAAAGCAGCTCTGGCTGGCAGGGAGTTCAGGGGGTCAGTCTGCCGGCCCAGGGCTGCTCCGACCCAGCTCAGCATGCTGCAAAGGGGCTGGCTACTCCACACTATAGCACCCTCGTGCCCCAGCCAGCCTCGGTTACTGTCTACACATGCGTTGTGGAATACTAAATAACAGCACTGTAGGACAGTATTAGTGTTGGGCAGCAGTATCCTACAGCAGCATTATTTAATTTACTGTGGCCCAACAGCATTCTATGTAGACTGTAGACCATGATGTTTTACTCCAGAGCTAATTAGTCAGCTCCACAGTAAATATCTTGTATAGACACACCCACTGAAGAGAAATACAGAACTGTCTTATTCTCTTCAAATGTGTTAAGGAATTTCTTTATATACACTCATTTACAATATTACAGTTATATTTTTAACAATTTTTGTAAACTAAATGAAATATAATGTGCAGTATGAAGTCAAAATTAATGGAGCATTTCATTTTTTTGCCAAAGATTCAAAACACAACTAAAATAACAGCAAGAAAAACATGTCACAAGTAGATTACCATTTAAATGTTTCCTGAAAAAACCACCCACTACAAATTAGTACCCCAACTGCAGGGTTTTTTTATTATAAACATTAGGACATAAGTAAAATATGAATGAAGAAAAGTTTGTACTTTTGTCTCCAACACCTCAGAGTAACAAGACTAATTTCTCACAAAAGGAAGTTCTTTTCCATTGCCAAATGACGTAGTAGCTCCTCTCTGCCTTTGATGACAAATCTAGTACTCTGAATTCTGACCAGAGTTACCCGCATAACATCCAACCAGAGCCTCCTATTTCCAGTGGTAAGCCAATAGCTAATAAAAGTACGCACAAGAGTTAAGTCTCAGAATGAAATAAAGAAATTTGTTGCAAATACTCTAAAGATTCTGCATAGCTGTCACCCTATCTCTGTCAATGACACAGGAAATTTAAAACAATACTGACTGACTGTGTGTGAAAAAGTCTGCAGAGTTGTGAGACCTTTCTACTCTAATGAAAAGAAAGGTATCAGGAGCATTAGGGCACTTTCTCATTTCCTAGGGTGTCAGATTATACAACCCACTGTATTATTCTTGCAACTGTTAAACCCTGAGGGGTGAGAAGAAAAAAGAGATTACAAAATAGGATAATGTAAATCATCTCTTTCACACCGATCTGGAATTTAATATAAGGAAATGCTAATATCCTCCTTGCTATATGTATCGTTGGTCTATGAGTAGAAGATTTCAATTAAAATTTTATGCCTGGATTGATCTTCTTATATTCATTTTCAGACAGTATTCAGACTTCCTCAGAAACGTCTCATAAACTTCATGATTTCTGTGAGAGAGTAGAGAGCACAGAAATTTGCACTGCTGGAACTGAATGCCTCTCCACTCCCTAAGACAGAGTTTCTTTAAAAAACCAAAAGAATGTCTTGAAACCATTTACACTGTATATGATTCTAACAGTAGCTCAAAATCAACATGTTTCTTGGAGATAGCAGGTACAGTTTAATTGATTCTCAAGTCCGTAAATGCTAACTAGATTAATAGATTTCATCACTGGTTCTCCCAGGCTGCATCCCCATGAGCAGGGGAATCCAGCTGCTGCAAGGGAAAAAAGCAGGAGCACAAATTCATGCCACTGTTTTTTGCCCTGGTGCACACCCTTGCATGTAGGGTTAGCACGGGGAAAAATGCTCCAAGTGGGGTAGAGGAGGCAGTGCCCAGGGGCCTCCCAGGGCTCCAGCGGCAGTGCTCTGAGCGCACAGAGCATGACCAGCAGCCGGAGTGCTCCAGTTTCAGGCAGCATACACTGCTGCCATGTGTGCCACCCCACTTTTCTTCCATGTGTTTTTTGATACAGGGATTTCCCAGTATCCAAACTTGGCTCTGCACTGCAAATATGCAACACAGATAACCAAATCATATGCACAGGGTACATTTTGCAGCATCTCAACAGCCTTTCAGAGATTTCATAGACATTAGGGCTGGAAGGGACCTCGAAGATCATCAAGCCTAGCCCCCTGCCCCAGGGGCAGGAAGACAGCTAGGGTCAAAGGACCCCAGCAAGATAAGCATCCAAGCATTTCTTGAATAAGTCCAGAGTAGGTGCCTGCACCACATGTGGAGGTAGTCTATTCCAGGTCTTGGGGGCTCAGACAGTAAAGACATTTCTTCTTATGTCCAGCCAAAAACAGTCTTGTAGCAGTTTATGACCATTGGTCCTTGTTTTTCCTTGGAGCACTCTGGTGAACAGACGTTCTCCCAGATCCTGATGAATACCCCTTGTCTACTTATAGGTAGCCACCAGGTCTCCCCTGAGCCTGCACTTTTCCAAGCTAAAGAGTCCCATGGCTCAGCCTCTCTTCATAGGACCTATTCTCTTGCCCTCTGATATCTGCGTGGCTCTCCTCTGGACTCTCTCAAGCTTCTCGACATTCTTCTTGAATTGCGGAGCCCAGAATTGGATGCATGTAACAGGAGCAGCATCCTAGGGTTGCCGTGCTCTCCCCTAGTTGTCCACTGTACCATGCCAAGCTGCCTAAAAGTACCCTTGAATCTCGCCTGCCACATCTTGATCTTATATATATTAAAGGGAGGCTGCCTTTCGTCCTCTTGGCCACGGTTCTCCTGATATCCCTTGTCCTGTTTCTATAATGGGTGTTCCGTGCACCCTGGCCTTATGGGCTATGTGTGGCTCTAGCCATCCCTGTACCATGCCCCAAGCCTCGCAGATGTACTGGATGTTCTTCAGTCTTACTCAATACTTCACTATCACTTGGGCTGTCCGCAGCCCTCTCTCGAGCAGCGCCTTCTCTGACACTCGGGTTCTCTGTGACCTTATTGCTCTCTGCCTTATTAGGCACTTGGAGTTTGCACACGCCCAATACTAGGCCTCTCTGGGGCTTCTCACTGCCCCCTCTCTGGGGCTTCTCGCTGCACCCTCTCTGGGCTGGGATCTCCACGCTGGCGTGGGTCCCGTATGAGGCCTCCTCCAACCCCTAATAGCCTCATCCAAACCTCCGATTAAACAGTAAACAAAACACAAGCCCCTTGGCTATAATATAAATCTAAGCCATCTTGCTCCAACCTTCATCTCGCCACACCAGAGTTGCTCCATCTGTCCCCAATCTCAGGCCGTACCTGTAGTTTGGCCTCTACTCATTACTCACTCCAGTAGAGCTCTTTCCCCCTAGGCTATCAGCAGGAAACTGCCTGCCTGGCCTCCGTCCTGGGGTTTAAATGGGAGTCAGGCCCTGCCCCTTCCGGTCAGCTGACTGCTAGCAGGTGTGGGTCACTGGCTCCCTCTAGTTGCCCCAGCAACCGGCACCTGCAGAGTTATCCCAGCTCTCCAAGTAGCAGGCACCTTAGTGCCCGGTTACAATGCAGTACTCCAGCTGTGGCCTCACCAAGGCCGAGTACAGCGGAAGGATGACATCCTGAAATTTACTTGAGAAGCATCTACAGATACAAGCCAGAGTTTTGTTTGCTTTACCAGCTGCGACATCGCATTTGTGACTCATGTTCATCTTATGGTTAATCATGATCCCCAAGTCTCTTTCAGCAGTGGTCCTAGCAAGCGTAGTACTGCCGAGCCTATAGGTATGCTGCAGGGTTTCCTCCCTCCCCCCCTCCCAAGGTGGAGTACCTTGCATTTATCAGTATTGAACGTCATCAGGTTTATGTCCACCCACTTACTGAGCTTATCCAAGTCAGCCTAGATCACTAGCCTGTCCTCAGGTGTGGATGCTATGCCCCAAAGTTTAGTGTCATTGGCGAACTTAGCCAGTGCGCTTCAGACACCAAAGTCCACATCGTTGATAAAGATGTTGAAGAAAACCGGTCCAAGGACAGTGCCTTGGGGGACATCACCGGTCACGGAGCACCATAATGATTCACTTACATCGACTGCTACTCTCTGGATCCGACCTGGAAGCCAATTCCCTAGTCATCAGACTGTGGTGTAGCCGAGGCCACAGTTGGCCAATTTTTCCATGAGGAGGTCATGGGACACCAGATCAAAGGCTTTTTTAAAGTCCAGGTATATGATGTCAATCTCTTCTCCCTTGTCTAGGTGATATGTCACCTGGTCATAGAAGGAGATGAAATTGGTCCGGCAAGACCTACCCACGACAAACCCGTTCTGGCTATCCCTCAGGATGTTGTCCTCAGCCAGCTTGTCCAGAAGGGTCTCCTTGACAATTTTCTTGAGAATCTTACCAGGGATTGAGCCTTTGAGTTGCCACAAAACAAAAATGCATGCTCATGTGGGTACAGTCCCAGAGTTCTTAGTAATAATGGTATGTGCCATAAAGTAGTAAACCAAACTTAAAATGTGTCCTACATCATTCTACCTCTAGACTAGATCTTGAAAGACTGAGATGTAGCATGCTCAGCCCCTCTGTGAGCTACTGCCCTCTGTGACTAAACTGATTCGTTCTGCTAAGTCAAAGACAGTACTTAGTTTTCTCAGATAGGTGTGTTTATGTCTTCTCCAGAAGTTCACTTGTCATAATACAAAATATTGTAAATGGAAGAAATAATGAATGAACCCTTTGGGGGAGGGGGACAGGGGTTTTCTGATCATTCTCTTCTCCTTTTTGGGAAGAAAAGAGAATAATCAGATTTTTTAGGTCCAGCTTCTACAAAAACCTTTACACATATGTGACTAATACTCCTATAACCACTACAAATCAGTAGGAGTACTCGTGAACATAAACTGTCAAGTCTTATAGACTGGAGACATTGAACTGTAACACCTGCTTGGCTGACATACTATGTTGTTCCATTTTGAACTTAAACCTATTTAATATTACAACATGCATACACACCTTCATGGTAAGCTGCTATTAATGTCTAGGCAAATAAACCTTTAAAATTCTTACTTTTATGGTAGGTTGTGTTGGAAAGAATTAGTAAGGATATGTTAAAAAACCCCCACATATGATCCTTAAGAGTAAATATTTTAACCAATAATAATCCTGAAATACTTCTTCACTTACTTAGTTTACATTTTTACATCAAAGCAATTCTTAAAGATTCTACAGGCTTAAGCAGACTGATCACATACTATATTTTAAAGGAACATAGTAAAAAAATCAAATCAGTCTAAAAAACAATTTAAGTTAGTTTTATATATACCTGCTTCTGAAATAATAATTATAGATATATTTTCACACTTGCCTACTTGTTCATGTTTTTTTCTGTGTAACTGTATGAATGACAAACACATACACAAATGCCAAACTGAAACTGTCTACATAAACATGCTATTAAAGTGCACAAAGCTGTATAAACAGACAAATATTTTCTCTAATCTCCTTCAGTTAAAATGATCTTATTATTTGTAACAATGGTAGGTAAAATTTATTTCCAACAGCATTGTTCTTACGTTGCCAGTGTAATTTGTCTTTCTTATGACTAAATATTGCTTTCCACATTAATAGAAACCTCCTGTTGAAGGCATTTGGTCCTTACAAAAAGTGAACAATAAAAATAAAATACCACCTTTGGGTTTGTAATTGGAAGAGATATGAAGTAATTTGGCTGGCTTTGCCCTTTGTTTTTCTTCATTGTCTTGCTATCTTCTTTCTCTCTTCCAGTATTTGTCTTTCTCTTCTTTTTTATATTTTTTTCAGAGGCACTAGTAACTAGGGGAAACAAAGCAGAACAGTTATCCTCTGCAGAGAGATTAAGACAAAAAATACACACAAAAAGTAATATTGTGCCAACGGAAGTGGGATTTGAGCCAACAACTTAAGGGGTGAAAGGATTTATATTGCATTACCATATCCCAAGCTTGCTGCATTTTCACATATAACTACATAGGATTATAATGATTATATAAATAGAAAAGTTCTATTAGGCAAGTTTTTAACACGCTTGAATGTTTGCAGAACTGAGTCCTAATGATGGTGACTCTGCCTATGATCCTACAAATCAGCCCACGTGGCTTTAATAAGACTATGCTCAGGCTGAGCAATCTGCCTGCAAGGGACAATTCACAGACCATGGACCATACATGAATTTTAAACCTGTTTTATTTAAATATACTTACTACCAAAGTCATCTCTGATATCTGTATTGGCAAATGGCACTTCCACCATCAAACTGTCTATGGATTTGGGAGCAACACGTGTCTTTCTTTTCTGCTTCATTTTCTTCTTTTTCTTTTCAATAAATTGTATTTTTTGCATGTTTTCCAACTCATCTGGAATACATATAAAATAATATGTTTGGTCTTACACTTCAGTACATACAATTAAGTGGCCAATGTATGCAGTACATATTACTCTGTGTAGCAATTGCTTTTCCCCATGTGTTGCGTTTTTCCTGTTTCAGTATTTTAGTAAATGCACCTCAATCCACATCCTCTGATACAGAGGACTATCACATTGATCCATTTTTATTCACATATGCTGGCTCCTAATCATCTTGTCCAGTCCTAAGGAAAAGCAATCAGATTCGCTGTATAACATGCATTAAAACATTCATGTGAGAGACAAAAATTATCGTTGGTGATATCTTTTATTGCACTAGTCACAGCTTTGGGATAGACTACTACATTTTTACACATCACTTTGCATCCTATGTAGATGAAGATAGTGATACTAAGCATTTCTCCATTAATCATTGTATTTCTTTCTGCAAGCCACAATAAACCCTCCCTGGAGCTCCCAGGGAAGAGAAAAGGACTCAGATAGGTCTGACTATGACCTAGTGTGTTGTGAGGTGTTCTGAGGAGATGGCTGTATCCTCCGCTAAGAACATCCTCACTGCTTTGAGGAATATTTCTCCAGCTTTGTGGTCTGTCTCACTCTTCCAGGAAACAGCTCTCTAGAAAGCAGAGAAGCAGAGCTGGGGGTGTTTCACCTTTTAAGCTCCTCTGTAAAATTCCCACTTAAAACTCCTTTAAGTTTCTTTGTAATACCATGAGGCTACTTCTTTTAATAACATTAAGTACACAAGTATTTGAGTGATCGAGACTTGCTATGAAATCTAGTGAGTCCAAATGTTGAGATTGTCCAAATATATCTCACTTAGGAAGAGAACAGTTAAAGTTTCCAAATAACAGTGGGGTAACCTTTTTATAATTGTGCTTTCCTCATGTTATCAGCAAGATACAGTTTGTTTACTTGTGATATTTAAGCATTGCTATGAGAAGGTTATATGTTTACTATATTATTTCAACATAAAACAGAAAATGTATGTATTCTTGAACACAGTTGTGAAGTTTGGGCTGTTCTGAGTGTTGTATCTTACATATTAATTAGCTATCAACTAGCTTTTAACTCAAACTCTAAGTAAACTCAACTCATACAGGAGCCACAAAACATCCATTATGGGATGAGAAAAATATTTAAAATCCCTACCTAGACTGAGTAAAGCTGTGTTGGCACATAAATTGGTCCGTGACATTTGAAAGACATTGTGCCAACCTGACATATCAGAAACCTACGTTCTATCTTCATTTTTCCTGTAGAGTTGTCCATACTCTCAATTATCTTTCCTCTAAATAGATAAAAGATAGTTGCCTCCCCTACGACAGACTTCTTGAGTCCTTGGTTAATAGGGTTTGCGAAGCACTCTAAAATATTAAGAACAATCAGGGATTAGGACTCCTAGGCACTTGACTTGTACTTCAGTACACTTTCCCTTGGGCTGCTGAGTAGTCTGTGCAGAAAGGGTCTCCTTCTAAAATGTGTGACATTTCACTCATTGTGTGGAAATATATGACGTACTTGTGGATCCATTAATATCAGATGTAAAAGGAGTTATCTGGCAGGTTTCTTTGAAGTCAACAAGACATTCAGACATAATAAGAAATATGGAAAGTTTAAATTTCCTAAAAAATGAATACACACAAATATAAATGACAGGTCTGAAAGCTATGAGTATGAAGCCAGTATAAATCAAAATCCAGTTTTTTTTTCAATTTAAAAATGCTAATCTTTGTTTCCAAATATCACTGTGAAGTACAGGTGACAAGATACCAGAGCAGAAGGATAATGAAAGGACCAGCTCTACCAATGATTTGAGAGGGGCTTTTTCCAAACTTATTAAGTAATACAAATGTCACTTTTCCTGTTTGCTTCTGACTCACATATTTCATGCTAAAATTTTCCATATCAAAATAAATCTGTTCAACAAGCAAAGCTGAAATCGCCTTTCCTATCACTCAGTAAGGTAACAAATGTTACAGAACCAAGCATCCAACAGTATTCTCCTGGGCTAGCACCACACTACAGCAGTGTTGGGGTGCTGGAAAAACTCTTATGTCGCAACTGCAGTTTATCACAGGACACCTCATTACCCAACATCCATGTGCTCAAAGATCTACCAGTGAGAAGTGTAGATATTCCAAATCTGGCCCTAGGGGACAATTTGGCAGCAAAGTGTATATTATGTTCCTGTGGCATGCACAGCAACTACTGATGTTACAACAGTAGCATAACAAACCGGATCTGGGTTATTAGTACCCTGTAGACAGTTTCTTGGATACTTCATCTCTTGTGCTAAGCAAGATAAAGAAACCTGATTAAGTGCTAATTGGCTTCAGCACAAGGGGGGAGGGGGTAAATCACAGAGTGGTGATCTGATGCCTAAGGTTTTGCACAAGCTGGTTCAGTTGTTCAACTGGTGGCTAAATGACTAGAAAGAAAGAATTCATATAGTTAAATCATTTGTAACAACAGAATGATATTTATTTTTTCAGCATTTAAACTGAGGTAATGATCTGAGGCCCCCACAACTAGGTCCCCATTATGCCAGGGGGTATACAAACTGACATAAAACAGTCCCTGCCTCAAAGAGGCTAAAGTCGAAAGGATGAGATACTAGTGAAGGAGACAAACAAGCAGAGACAGGTTACCAAAAATAATAGGATAATGGGACATAATAGGATAAGTGCAGTTCTAGTTTTCTGGAAGCAGTAAATACAATGCTGGTTATAATTTACTTGCAGATGCTATAATTTGAAGTACTTTTAGAGAAAGGAATTTCTTCAAGGGTGCAAGGTAAGGGCTCTAGGATCTGGTTCACATGTATGTGTGCATGCCGTTATAGTTTTTTCCTTATCTTTTATAAACTTTTGTAACAACAGAAGACTTCTGCACCCAATTTCTCATTTACAGAAATATAAGCAAAAATCATGTTTTTGTGTAACTGGAAAAAATGATGAGAGTTCTCTGGGTTTTATGTTGTTCAGTATTTTTGTTTTTTCCCATTACATTCTTAAGTTTCTCATTAAGTTCTTATAACCCTGTCTTTTCCTTTTGTAGCCCTCCATTTTTTACCTGTAACCCTAGATTAGGTGCCAGACTTTAGGTAATTAAGGAATATTAGTCATACATAAGCAGCACCATCACCATGCTACTGCAGAAAGACTGTCAAAATATGCAGACTTTAAGTTTTATCTGAGTTTAAAACATTTTCACTCACTCCAGTTCCACCATACTGACTGTTAAAATGTGAATCCTAGGTAGATTTCCAGTGAAGTAAACAAAAGGTAACTGGTTGGGTTCTTTACGTCACAGTCCTGCAACTGACGCCTGTGGAGGCCCCTCTGAAATCAATGTGGCTCCACATAGACACAAGAGATCTGCCCACATATAATCAGTCCTAATACTAAGGGCATATATGTATGTCTGTGAACCCTATGTTATGTCCTCCCTTTGCTCCACTGAATAAGAAAGAAGTGTATTGAGAGACAAATGCCACTTTGAAAAATTCTGCCTGTCACAATAAGAGCCGGTCAGAGCAGAGGAACAACACTCTTGACAAAGTGCCTTTTCAATAAATAAGCAGTTGGCTTGTCCACAAGCACAACGGCTTTCTCTAAATCCTACAGGTTGAATTCCAAGTACACAAATCCCTCCTTATCATTTATTATAATGGGTTGGTTAGCACTTAAATAAATTGGCAGAGTCATACAAAATCAATTCTAAGCATTAATGTTACGGGAAGAAGAAATCTATGCTTTCAAGCCTTAACATTTATCAACAATGTAAATGGACATTTTAAATTAGTCTGATAGGTAGGTAAGAGGGAACACTACTCTGGCAAATGAAAGCCTCGTCCAAAGCTGTTGTAACGTAAATACTGTTTCTTAATTAACATTATAGTTACATTAGCCAGAACTTCAAAATTTTAATACATATTAACATTATATTTAAAATGCTCCCATATTTTTATTAATGGAAATGGGTTTTGCATTCTTCAAATTTCTTTCAGTTATCACACAGAAGCTAGTAATGGAAAGAATCAGTACAGTGGTAATGGTAATGTCCTTTGACAGAATATTCCAAGTTTAGGAAACAAGTTTACTGCTTTGAAAACTCATGTACAGACACTGCCCACAAATACCTGTACCTTATCATCAAGTAGGCTAGACCTCCTTAGTCCTCCTCTTTGTTTGACACAAACCAAATGGCAGCACAAACCAAAAACCTGATGGCGGCACAAACCAAACATCCAGGACATAAAAATGCAATTAACTCCTTAATGATAAAACAAAATGTTATAATCTATCATAATCATATCTGACACAAAATTTATGAGAATAAAAGTGAGTGTTTCTGGAGAGGTAAGGCAGACTTAAAACAGGCAGGAGTTAGTTCCCTCCACTCACCCAGACCTCAATTTGTTAATAAGGATGGAGCAAGAGACCACATCGTTTAACGTGTTAGTCTGAAGTCAAATAGAAGGCAGGATAGATTTGCACCTTATAGACTAACTAACTATACTAATCTATATCTACACCTACCGTATTTATTTGATTCCAAGACAAGGTTCCCCCCATACCATTTAATATGAGAGGCGGGGGGAAAGGTCCTTGTCTTGGAACCCATTACAAGGGGGCAGGACAGCGGGGGTAGGCAGCTGCTGTGATTCTCAGTTGGGGCCACAGCCATGGCTGCTGTCTGCCCCTGCTGCCTCTGTACGCCCTGCTCCCTACTTACCATCTACCACTGCCTGACTGCTTTACCCACTGCAGTGGTGCAGAAGACGAAATTAAGATGATGCTCCACTAATAAGATTCTATACATGGAAAAATTATAACGAAGTAATACATTTTCTATGTCTAAAATCTAATTATTGGAGGAGGGTTGTCTCAAATTCAGGACTGTCTTGGATCTGGGTAAGTATAGTATAGATCTATATCTATGCCTATACTTATGTCTACTTCAGTATCTCTCTTTTTTAGAGAGAGAGATCTGCACCTACTTTGGTTAGTAGATACCAAAGTGGTTATAGCTATAGCTCTATAAATATAAATATACATACACGTATATAGCTACAACCACTTTGGTATCTACTAACCAAAGTAGACTGAGCACCACTGCTTTAGCTAATCACAACTCTTCTACAGGCTGCAAAGCACCCTGTTCAAGTTTGCTGATGATACTAAGATGTGGGGGGATGTGGGCACAATAGAGGGGAGCAACAGGCTACAGTTGGACCTAGATAGGTTACAAGGATGGGCAGAGAACAGGATGGGGTTTAACACAGACAAGTGTAAGGTGATGCACCTGGGGAGGAAAAATAGGCACCATACATACAGGCTGGGGAACTCCCCTCTTGTCAGCACGGAGGTGGAAAAGGATCTGGGAGTCATTATTGACTCCAGGATGAACATGGGCAGGCAGTGTGGGGAGGCAGTCAGGAAGGCCAACTGCACCTTGTCGTGCATCCACAGATGCATCTCGAGCAGGTCCAAGGAGGTGATCCTCCCCCTCTATGCAGCACTGGTCAGGCCGCAGCTGGAGTACTGCGTCCAGTTCTGGGCGCCGCACTTTAAGAGGGATGTGGACAGCATCGAGAGGGTCCAGAGGAGGGCCACTCGTATGATCAAGGGACAGCAGGGTAGGTCCTATGAGGAAAGGTTGCGGGACCTGAACCTGTTCAGCCTTCAAAAGAGAAGGCTGAGGGGGGATCTTGTGGCCTGTTATAAACTGGTTAGGGGGGATCAGCAGGCGCTGGGGGAGTCCCTGTTCCCCCGAGCGCCGCAAGGAGTGACCAGGAACAATGGTCACAAGCTGGCGGAGGGAAGGTTTAAGTTGGACATCAGGAGGCGCTACTTCACGGTCAGGGAGGCTAGGGTCTGGAACCAGCTTCCAAGTGAGGTGGTGCAGGCTCCCACCCTGGGGGTTTTTAAGAGGAGGTTGGATGACCACCTTACTGGGGTCGTTTGACCCAGTACTCTTTCCTACCATGGCAGGGGGTCGGACTAGATGATCTGCTCAGGTCCCTTCTGACCCTAGAAACTATGAAACTTTTCAAACGCTTGTCATCTCCTTTCCTACTACTTGGGGGCCTGAATCCCACATCAGTTTTCAAAGCCAGTGGTAGAACTTTTTATTATTTAGGCATTAACTTCACTTTAGGCATTAAGGCATTACTGGCAAGGACAGATCATAACAAAGTTTTCTCTCTCTTTTAACTGTTACTTTATGAAATCAAATTGTGACAATACTAAAAGTGTGTGATACAGACACACACACTTTTAGTATTGTCACAATTTGATTTCATAAAGTAACAGTTAAAATACACACACATACACATTCACTCATATATATAGCTATGGACATATCTATACTTTAGTCGGTAGATTGATCCATCGATCGATCTTTTGATAGATAGTTATAGCCATACTTTGGTAGGTAGATAGATAGCTCTATATTTAGACTGACTTAGATATGCAGGTACGTAGGTAGACAGATCTATACTTTGATTGGTAGGCAGGTTTATTAGATAAATATAGCTATACTTTGGTAAACAGGGACATCGGTGCTTTGGTAGACAGGCTGATCTATACTTTGGCAGATGGCAGACAGATAACCAAAGCAGACAGAAAAGCTAATTGATGGAGTGGCACTTGGGCTGGTTGGTAGATAGGTAGATCAGTTGACAGACAGATCACCAGACATACACACATATGTGTATGTTGACAGACAGATGGGCCGAGCTATACTTTGGCAGGCAGATAAAGCAGATGGACAGACAGAACAGATCGCTCAATGGATAGTCTGGCAGGCAGGTGGGTCAGCACCTGGATCGCTACAGCTCTCGTTTCCTAGATCCACACGGACTCTGGTAGGCAGAGACATTGCTCTGTACTCGGGTAGGCAACACCCAGACAGACACTTGGGCAGACACAGCCAGACCAATCTACACGATGGCAGACGAGCCGAGCAGACTGACGGGAAGACACGCCCGCGTGCTGGAGCCTTCCCTACAGCCCCCGTAGGACCGTGGCGTCATGGAGCCCCGCCCCTCCTCCCGCACATGCGCCTTAGGAGCTGCCCTCGCCACCCCCTCCTCTCCTCACCCTGAGACGGAGGCAGCGGAGGTGGCTCGTCTCGGAGCAGCGCCATGGCTCGGGCCGGGCCCACCATGCGGCCGTCCGCCCGCAGCGCCCGCGAACCTGGGGCCCAGAGCGGGAAGAGCCGCAGCAGCGTCCCTCGCCGCGCCAGGAACAGCCGCAGCTGCAGCAGCATGTCCCGCCCCGCCGCACCTTGGTCCGCTACGGCACGGCAGAGGGGCCAAAAGGGTCGCGCCCGACCCAGGACAGGCTTCCGCGCCTTTCACCCCGGAGTGGGTTTAGTGGTCTGCTGTCCCTGTCCTGCCATCCTGCCTGCCCAGGATGCTGCTCTGCTTTCTGCCGCTGCCTAACCTGCTGCTCTGCTTTCCCTTCCCAGTGTGATCCACTGCTCCACTTTCTGCTGCCTGCTGTCCGTCCCTTCCCTGCCATGCTGCCTGCCCAGACTGCTGCTCAGCTTTCTACTCCCTGCCCCCACTCCTCTCTGCCTCCTGACCCATAGCAGGCTGCCACCCAGTTTGCCTGTTGACCACCTCTGCCTCTGCAGTGTCAAGTTTAGGTTTGGGTTTGGTGGGGCAGCTTAAAAAAAGCAAAGGCATTTCCGAACAGGCGGTTGGGGCATGGAGTTCACTCTTATTTTGGGGTACAAGATGGCTTGGGGTGAGATCTTATATTGGGTCCACTCCTGCTCAGGGGATCTCAGACTTTGAAATGGGGCAAAAGGGGGTTGAGGGAGATGGGCAGATGGCGTGGTATATTGTCACGCATAATCAGAGCACAACACTTTTCCCCAATAAGAAGCTAGAAACTTTATTGATGTAGGGGGCTGGGACTGTATTAGTCCAGGTTAGGATAAAAGCAAAAACAAGCCTAACTTCAGTGTCATGTGCATTCATTTGCTGTTTCACATATTGTATATTAAAAAGCTCAGCAGAAATAATCAGAAGATATTTCTTTAGTCCTGTAGTCATTAAGAATTAAAGGTCTCTCTTTCAGAGCCATACAACAAAATCAATCCTTCATGAGCATCTTGATGGTACATCTAGTGCTTCAACTGAAAGTTATTTCCACACCTGACTTAATGTTCTCCTGAATTAATGTTTCCATACCTGAGCTGTTTTTAGGTAGAGTCCAAACTGTCCACAGTGCTATGAAGTAGGAGCTACGTTGCCAGGAGCAGCTAGAGATGACAGAATTGCAGACGAAAGGGCAGCTTGCTTTGTGGAATATTAAGACGGCTAATAAAGGAGAGTCACCCCTGTGGAGTGAAGAGTTTAGAACGGGCAGGTAAAATATGGGCCTCAGGCCAGATCCAGCTTGGCAACTGATTGGACCCAACCTACAGCTGTCCCTGTGGTGCATCAGAAGGGGCTGAGCTGTGCCTGGGTCAGCCTGCACTTCGTTCCAGCCCCAGGCCAGACCAGTCTGCGCAGCTTCCCGCAGGGCTGATCCTGATGTGGCTACAGCTGCATGGGTGCTTCTCAGCCTCTACCAGTGGCTCCTCCTACTGCTGTGCCACACCAAGCAGGAAGGAAGCTTCAGTCAGGTGGAATGGCTGGAAGGCAGCCGGAGCCCTGCATGCTGGGGCAGGAGCTGCCTGGCTGAAGCTTCCTGCCTGCCTGGAGCAGTGCAGTCAGTGTAGGAGGAGGAGCCGCAGCTGGAGGTGAGGGGAGCCAAGCAGCACCCAGGCAGCTGCAGCCCCCCAGCAAGTTGTGCACTCCAGCCAGGGCTGCACTAGTGGGCACAGTCTGGAGCACTGTGCAGGCTGCCCTGGGCAGGGTTCACCCCCATGCAGTGCCATGAGGGCAGCCACAGACTACTGCCCAGGCAAGCTCTGCTGCATTTATCCCATGCCCTTCCTCACCCCCTGCCCACCAGCCAGCTCCCAGGATCTAGCTCCCAGAAAGTTCTCCCCCTCACCACACACAGGTGCGCACACATACCCCTTCCACCCCTCCCCCCCACGCACACACACAGGCCAGGGGCATTCAGGGAGCAGATCATG